AATTATAATGTTACTTGTCAGTTCCACAATTGTTCAGAATTAGTTCTTTAGTATCTTTAGTATCCTTTCGTGGATTTTGAAATTTCGATTCTTCAGTGATCCACTTCTCAGATCGCCAAGTACGATTGCGCTGTTGCGGTCTTATTGTAATGTTTCGATAATGCTCAGTATTGATGAGTTTTTTTTCAGGTAGAATCCGAGTACTACACACCGGTGGATGGGGATATTATTGCACAAGTAAGGAATACCAGAGGCAACAATCTGCATGAGGTATTTTCTTTTTGAAAGGCAACCTATTTTTGGTTCTCGCTTATTGTCAGTATTCGGCATCCCCTCATCTCATCCGCCAAGTTTCCCATTGCCCACATATGCTACTACACATTGTGCGCACATTGCAGCACACGATCGTAAGACCGTTACGTATCTACTGCACAATCGAATTGCAATACGGTCACAGCATGACCGCACCTTAGCTGGTGAAGGATAGGTCTAAATGGTCATTGATAACGGAATATATAGCATTAGGCGCGCTTTCATTTGCTTTCCAAAAATCATGTCTGAACAGAATCAGTAGAGTCTACGATCAGTGCAGAATTTTCTATTCGTTAGGTGAATACCGCATGTCCTAGGACGCTTTCATATGTTGCTTTGAGGGTGCGTTTCTTGCTAAAATGCGATTGCTGGAATGGCCGATGTCAGACTTTGCGATTGGAGCGATTTTGCACCAATTGCAGGAGCGACGGATCGCTCCAAAGATGCGAGCGACGGGAGATTTACCCGAGCGGCGCCGTGTGTATCGGTATCGGCGGGGTAAATCTCCCGTCGCTCGCATCGCTGGAGCGATCCGTCGCTCCTGCAATTGGTGCAAAATCGCTCCAATCGCAAAGTCTGACATCGGCCAATCGCATCGCAGGCCTACAATCAGGGCTGAGCGTGCTGAGTCGATTCCGCTGGTTGTGAGCTTTTACTGAGTTTAGATGGAAGTGGAAGGAGTGAATGGATTGGGAACTAAACCAATAACGCAGGCTATGCTGGCCTTACGATCGGTTAGCTTTTTCTTCGATTTTCTTCCTTACATTGCTTCCAATGTTTTTTTTTCTGTTCAATATGAACCATTTACTGTGACTTGGATCGTGGGTCAACTGGCAATAGCTGGTAAAGTATGGCTTGAAGAAAGGTTTTCAAAGTAATCTAAAGGTGTGTGTAGTTTTTTGCTTTGGCTATGTAAACTTCGGCGGAATACATGTTAGAGGCTATTACTTTTTTTATAACGTATTCCAATCCATTTCCTTCTCAGCTCCATTAAATCTCACTTTCGGCACCGCCAGCGCTGTATTTGGCCAGTATCAACGGTGCGGCTTGCGCCGCTCTAGAATTTGTGATTTTTGCGATACGTGCTTTGGTGTGTCTCAGGATTTCTGTCAATGAGAACGCCAGGCGATTCAGCTTTCTGTAGTATTGTCTGGGCTTTTTTACACGTGCACATTATTACAGCATCTATTTTCTTTTGTTTCTTCGAAAGGTTTGGTCTCAGAACTCCATACTTCCACTCTTTGGTTGTCAGAAGCCTCATAACTGTGTTGTTAGCATGAAGGCGATTTTGTGACCCTCGCAGATGCTCACATTGTCGGTGCCAATTTTATTCAAGGTTATCGGCCGATCGAACTGGCTCTCATGCTTTGAAACCAATCCTCTGTTTTGTATTTGATGCAAATTTCATGCATTTCTAGGTTGAAGATGAAAACGGTGAAACATACGTTGCAAGCATGCCATCCAAATTCAGAAAAGCGATATGGATCCGAAGGGGGCAGTTCGTTGTCTTGCGGCCTATTGAAGAAGGTGACAAGGTGAGCCCCTGTCTTTTCTCTGAATAAACATAGCATTTGCGAATGTTGATTTTAGGTGAAAGCCGAAATCGAACACGTATTGGATGAAGAAAACATTCTATACATAAGATCCATAAACAAGTTGGTTTTATTGTCTGGATATATCTGTGCTTATGGTAACGCTGTCTCCCATTAGGTGCACCTGCCGGAAGTACAGCAGGAATGACGAAGTCGTTCTTGCTGAACTTTTTGGTATTCCTTGGTGTGATATGATTTGTTTCCAGATAGGCCCACCTTTCCGATTTGTTTTCACAAAATAGAACATCCAGGTTTTTAGACATCGTTTGACGGCGCTTTCGCTACACATGTCGTGCACATAGTCGTTTTGCAGGACATATAGCGAAAGCGCCCTCAAACGAAGTCCAAAAACTCCTTTTTCGTGTATCAATTCAATCCATCTCTTCTAACTACAGATGGCCTACTCGGTTTGAAGAACAGGCTCGAATGATGACAAGAGATGCCAAACGAGGAGGAACAGGAGAAAACACTATGATTGACGACGATATGTTACCACCAACGTATGTTCGATTTTTGGTTTTTTTTTGGTATTTCCATCGTTCACTGCATTATCTGAGACCTTCATTCAATGATTTCAGTGATAGCGATGAATATGAAAGCAATGGAGAAGAGTCCACCGATGGTGGTGAAGGCGATATTTCCGATGGTGATTCGGATGATAATGGACCTGATACGAATTTGCATCAGTACAACCCAAATCGTGATAAAGCGCCAACTAGCATATAAGTATGTTCAGGTATAACCTATCAACTGCCAATTTATTACATATGTTGACCGGTTCTGATCTATTCCGATGTGCATCCATAGAACAAAATGTTTTTTCATTCGCTTAGACCTTTGAAGTTCTGTAAAAATTGATGTCTTCTTCACTTTCATCTCGATTCTTTCTTCTTATCAATCTTCGCGATGTGATTAGTTTTTTTGCTATTGATCGTTTGGGGGATTTATTTTCATCGAACGAGTTGATGCGCTATGGTTCTTTCTTTGGTTACAAAGTTACTACTCTTCATCATCCTGTACATGATATCTGATTGTTATAGGATTACCTTGCAGTTTCTCTATGAAATCCAAGTTGTTGATTTTGTTAGCTTTTGAGATTCTATTTGTTTTCAATCGATGTATCAGAGCATCCTTAATAAATTTTCAATAAACAAGCTAAGTGATCTTAACGGCGCGTTCGAAATCCATCACATTACTATCATTTGTTGAAATTTCTCTTTGCACTTTTGCCACGGTCCGTCCTTCTAATTGCGTTGCTCCATTCTTGCTCCCAAACATTCAGAAGCTTTCCTTAAATTCTGCATCGTACGTAGTTCTTTTCAGAACTCATTTTTCTTTGGTGAAGGGCGAGTTGTGAGTGTGGGGGGCGGGGAGGTGCCGCGAGAAGAATAATAGCGCGACGAAGCAGACGAATGTCGAAATACACATTCGGATATTCTTAACTCTTCTGAAGTATGTTCCTGGGAGTGTGATGGTGAGAGCGGTGCTGGTAGTTGGGCTTTGTAAGATTACTGCATTTGCGTATTGTTTCACTCAGCTACCTCTGTAATCCTATAAGATGCGAATGGTTATTAGTAAATGCTGGGCAAAACGTTTTTGGCATTTCATCTTTTTACTTGCAGAATGGTTCATATATCTGTTGGTCAAATGTGCGCCGCTTTTATGGATTGCATCCCACCCGGGCCGCGCGGCCCGCGGGCTTTTGAGCACGAATGGTGGATCATTCTTGTGAAGTGGTCGCATTTATACCTGCTGTGTATTCGTCCTTAATGAGTTAATTGGAAAGGGTCGTGTTCTTGTCCAGAGAGCTGTGTATCTCAGTTTGTGTCAACAACCCATTCCAGTCATATATACCCAATTATTCCCTTCTGTTATCTGAACCATTTGTCAGTGTAACTTTGGTTGCGGGTTGAGTATTCTATGTGAGTGTGAGCGTGTGCTTTAAGCGCGTGCCGAATTTATGTGTGTCTATGGAGAGGCCTCTGTCGGTAGCGAGCGAGAGATCCTCTTCTGGTGTTATTGATAAATTGTTTACGAGCTCCCCTCGAGGAGTTGTCGAAACCCGGCCGGTTCAGCGTGCGAGGTCCCCTGCACGGACGTCGCAACTCACCATGCCTCTTACGCCACCTGTTTCGCCGAAAGGTGGTACTAGTATGTATTTGGATCCTGAGACCAGGTTGAGTTACTCCAACTCGCCTCTCAAAATTTTGATCAAAACTGCCAAGGCGATAGGCAGTGATGAATTTTGGCACATGAATGGGTTCGGCGGTGAAGGAAGTTTATTGCCCTGGAAAGAGAGCCCTCCTTTCGTAGCTAAACACGTTCACACTTTAATTTCTCCCACCACGACCCCTTTTTACATGGTTCAGTAGAAAAAAAAAACCTGGACTACAATTTCATAAGAAATTCCAAATACAACTCCCTGCCCCGCCCTCCCCCCCCTCTCCCTGCCCCTGTGAACTTGCACGTGTTACGGTTGACTATGTTGCGCAGTTGAGGCTGGGGCCAGATCCCCCTCCTCCTCTGGCCCCTGCCTCAACTGCCGCCATAGTTCGCGATCCGTCGCGTGAATCGCAAAAATTGCAGGTGCCCAGTTTGAACATATTGAAACACTGAATATGAAACAAGTAAATCGTGAACAGTCTCACTCGACCATCACCATCACGCAAAAATGGCGACTGAATTGAAAAGCACTTTAGCAGTAATGCTCAGGGCTTTGATTTCTATGTTTTGTCGCGCGACCCTGACACCAATCCTATTGGTTTTATATTAGTTGCTGCAATATGAACGTCCCTTCGACCCTTTTGCCATGGCGGTTCGCTCTGCCATCTGCATGCAAATGCATAGTGATCATAAAAAGTAACACGAGTGCCCGTGTCAGGTATTCGACGATTTTTCCCACAGCGTCCCGCCCCCTGCTGTAGGTCGCCATTTATGTTTTTCTATTTAAGGGTTCCGTGTCAGTCGCGAAAGCACTGGAACTACCTACGCAATAGCGGTTGGTTCTTCTGTTCTCTCCAAAGGCCGTACACGTGGTGCGGACCATTCAGTGGCTTTTCTTGCTTGAATCAGACACGCTCACTGTAAGCTCACCGTCATTATCGTTATCTCTGTTGCGCCAACATATAAAAACGTTTTTTGGGATCTCACGTCTTAATATTGTTCATCCACTGAATATGGGCTAGAAGATCTGGCAACGAAGATCGGTCTGTCTGTTTTGACTATTTGCAGGGGTCTGTGTTCGCAGTTCACGTGTCTGGTTATGATAAGCCAGGGCAGAAAGAATTAAGCATGAGTTGAACGATAATTGTAAGTTTGCCGTAATGCGCTCACCGTAGCGAGTACTAATACGAGTTCGGAACAGTGTGGTTTTTGTTGTCTAGCAACAACCGGTCCTATACCTCGCAACTGTTCATATTGTGGGGTGTGCTGAGTGCCATTGAAAAACGCGATCGTACGTGCCGGTGAGATTCAGCAATGACAGGCGAGCTTTGGCTAGAGGATTCTTTCTGTGGCGATTCTAATGACTCTGCGACCCTACAGGAATGTACGCCCTATTTCAAGAGGAGCACATAGTATACGATGCAGTTATCCTTTTTATCGGCTTTCACACGAGACGTTCGCTACCGAGCTCATCATACGGGGCTTTCAGTGGTACAAAGCAGTGCGACAATGTTTGAGCCCTAACTTTGGTGCGCAGTTTACTTACCTAAACATTTGACTGACTTAGGGCGGAAGTGGTGTAGTGGCAAGTGGCACGCTTACCACGCGAGCGGTCCGGGGATCAAATCCTGGGTCGTGAGTCGCCCGGGCCAACCAAGCCTTCCATCCCTCCGGGGTCGGTTAATTGGTACCAGACTTGTCTGGGAGGATAAAAACACTGACTTGTACATCGGCTGGCCCCCGCAAGTCATTGTATAGGCCACATCGCATTCAAACGCCACTACGAATGTACAAATGGAAGTAGAATGCGTGCCGCATCCCAAAAAGGGATTGATCAACGGCAAATGCTTTATCCTTTTTTTTATTATTTGACCTGTGATGCTGGACTTTGCATTGCATTGACTGTTGTTAACCATTTCATCAAGTTTTTTCTAAATACCGTTTTGACTATCCCTTTTGTATTTGAACATTTTCCAAAATGTTGCTCATAACTTC